GCAGCCAATCTTTTTTTCAGTGTATATATATATATCTATATATATCTATATATATCTTTATATATATCTTCACACATATCTTTATTATATCTTTAGTATATCTTCTTTCTATTCTCATTAGTATATCTTCTTTTTAAACAAGTTATATAACGCAGTAATATAAGTATAACTTCATATGCGAATCTGTATAATATTGTAAATACTATCTTATCTTTGAATTATTCGTATATGAGCTGTAGCGTACGATCGTAAAGCCATAAAATATAACAGCTCGACTCGCATAAAATTGACTTTGAACAACTTCCGCGTCGATCCCATCTGTCTTCAACGTGTGTCTGTTTATCGCTTCCCTCCAATTTTCATGATGTCAATTGTCAGGTAACGTACGTCAGTGACATAATCAATAGACAATGTCAACAAAGGAAAAATAATCTTTTTATTATAAAAAAATGAACACTTCGATTATAAAACCATATCACGCTTTCGGACTTTGTCTTACGAAAGAAAATTCTTTTACAAAACAATTGTTTGATGAGTTTTGTTGACAGCTTGCGTGATAAGTTAGTATTGGTATGTGTGAGGCAAGCTTCTTCCAGTCTCTTTATCAATCCTGCACATGAATCCGATAATATCATGTAATCATTGATACAATATCATACATTCCAACATGTTCTATTAATATCCTCGATTGTACACACATTTCACATATTCGGAATTATCAGTTTATCAATATGGGATAAACAAGATTTATGAACGGTTCTCTTATTATTAATAACTCATGAGAGATGACTCGATATTCTTCGCCAGTTCTGCATTTTACGTGCTGTATTAGGATACCAATTATGCAGCGGAGGAAATTTATTACTAAAATTTACAAAAGAAAACTTATGACAAATTTACAAGAAATGACATACATATACTTTTTACGCTAATTATAAACAAAAGTAACAATTACATTTTTACTTAATATTCATTATGTTTATTGTTATATAAAAGAGAAGTAATATTGATATTAATAAAATAATTCTGATAATACCTATTATTGCGATTAATTATAATTCGAACTAAGAATAAGGATCGAAAGGATTATTAAAAAAAAATGTAAAATTTAATATTTCCACTTTAGATACGATTTTTAGATTTAGCTTCAATAGAAAAATTTAAATTATATGTTATTATACACATTAATTTTATATTATTCTAACAAAACGAAAAAAAACTAATTGCTAGTAAATTTTGATGTAGTAGCAAAATCTATCAGTAATTACATGAATAGTAAAAAAATTTATTCAAGAATACTAATTGCTATTTGCAAATATAATTTTGCTAAAACTACAAATTATTTTGCTGTAAGAACAAATACATTAATTTTTATTTAATTATCAAAGCTTTTTTAGTTCATTAGCAAAACAATATAAATAAATAAAACACGTTTGCACATTAGCATTGTTTTGAGGTATTTTTTATTATGTTGTTTATAGAAATCAAGCGACACGGTAGCGTCGCGACGCCAAGTGCATAAAAATATAAAACGGGCCGCTTGATAGCTTGACCGCTTGACGTGTGAACGTCATTGCGTATATGTTCGTGCCGTTGCCAATTTGCGACGCTTCACTGAAAAAAAAGATTGGCTG